CCTCGCCCCTCAGGAGACGAAAGAGGATGTTTCCCTCCCTGAGTTTGGCCTTCATAATTCCATTCCATCACATTTACATATATTTTGATAGTTCATATATTCTCATTCTGACATATTGTTATGGTAAATTATAGTTTATCAAACTTAATTTTTCAGTCTTTCAATTCCAATAAAATAATAAAAATTAGCTTTTGCTAAGACTACTATTTTTATTATTTGTTTCTTATATTCTTTTGTACTTACTCATTTGAGGGTCAGTCTCTGCTTGACATTAACTTAATGTTGATTCAAGGTCTCCATACAGGATCAGCATGAGCATTTGGTTATGAGTTGATAAACATTTGTAAAGTGTAAGGTGGGATGGCCAAGTGATGGTGGGAAAAATTTCAAGGGCAAAAAGAATCTGCCGGAGATTGGAACCATCATCAGACAGCATTTTTGGTTTGTTACCAGAGTTAATTTCAGAGTGGTCAATTTATGATAGTGAAAGTGAGAGTGTTTCAACTGCTAATCCAGTCAAATTTCATATATGTACAGTTCTTTCTTTAATGATTGAGTTAGGTCAGCCACTGTTTTACATTTCTGTCTTATAATTGCAAGGGTTAGGCATGCATATGCTTCAGGTTAATTCACTTTAATTATCCTTGTGACATACCACTTGCATGAAATAAGTTTTATCTGCCCCGGTGGTCAGTACCATTGTAATGTATATTCTTGATTATTGTTATATTGTTTCTCATCCTCTGGTTTTTCTTTATATACCATTCTGGACCATTGGGAGTAGAGTAACATAGAAACATTAGTAGTAAAATAAATAGCCTGTTTTAATTAAGTCTCTCTGTAAGTGTTCTGAAGACAAGGATCCTCAAAACTTAGTCTTTCTTAAAAAATTAAATGCGTTAAAGGGTTGTTATTGAATCCTGAATTTTCTGAAAGTGTGAATTAGTTTGAATAAGTGAAGCATTTTTTTAGTGTTTCAAAATGTCCGAATCTATAAGACAATATTTCCTTAAACTGAGTCACAGAAATTGCTTTTAAAATTAGTTTTTGTACACCTTAATTCATATTTCAGCTCTATTCATTTATGCATCAGCCACTACCTATTCATACACTACTGTGTAATTCTACTTTTGGTAAAGAGCTTGTGTGGAAAGAACTAGTGTTGCAAAATTGGATAGATTTTGCAGAGCTGCACATCAAGATACATGGAGCTGCTATAAAAAGCCAAAGAAACTCAATTGCAATTTTATTGTCCAGTTTGATAGATTTCCTGCCACCTTTGTAGCAGGGAAGCCGTTTGTCACTGTAGCCTCTTTTCCAACTGCAGTACTACGCTTTATAAGCAGTGATGGCTTTTGTGGCATAATTGCACTACATAGGCTTCTTTTGCTCTCAGGATTTGAAGGTGTACATAATCCTATTAAAGCTAGAGCCTGTTGTAATGCTTTGATTAAAAAAAAAAAAGGTTCCCTATTTTTATATGTTCTCTCCCTCTACTTTCTGCTCTTTTCATTATAGTAGTTTGTAAAATAATTTGATTTTTATCATGTATAGTTTCTGCATTTGTCCTAAGAAGAATTTACCACAAAAGCACCTAAATAGAAATATTAGCTATATTCCTATTGTAATAATTTCTTCTATGATTTTTTTCAGTTTTGAACATGTTTGTTTCTTCTTTACTTTTGCTAAATCCTTGCAAAACCTTAAGATGAAATTATTTTCGAAAAATGTATTTTGAAAATAACTTAGATAATTTATTTTTTATTAATCCCAAAAGGAATAAATTATATTTACTTTTTAGTGTAATTTGAATTATGTATCAGTATATATTTAAAATACTTATTGATACAGTAATTTATGTCACAGGTAATTTTAGTTTTGTCTATAGCTACAGAATGTTTAGAAAGCACTTAACCACAAAGAATTGAGAATTAAAATGCAGTAAATTAAAACAAGGAATAAACTTTTGCTTTATATTTAATGTTATGGAAAAGTGTAAGATTGAATAAGATGCCAGATATTATCACTCAGTAGAACTGATGTCCATAAAATTAAGTTGAATTATATAGCTATTTGCTTGACTTGCCCAGCCTTGCAGATGCAGACAAATTGAAAAGAGAAGACGAGCAAAAATGATTTGTTGTCTAGGATTGATTTATGAGAAAAGATTAAAGAGTGAAAGTGTGAGAAGAGGATAGTTGAATCTTGGAATGGGTAGATTTGCCACATAGAGCTTGAAAATGGCAGACATTGAAGGCCTGGGCTGTTCTTATCCCAGTGGAATAACTTGAGCAATGGAAGCAGTAAGATTAGAATTCATATAGACCTTTAGAAATTAAATATGGAAAGCACTCCTGTAAAATAAGAATAAAACTTTGGGACAAGATTGGAAAGGTAATGGAAAAAATCTGGAATTTAATACATAACCTTTGACTTAAACAGCTATCCAGTATATTGACCACTGGTGAAAATACATTTACCCATCAGTGTGTCTGTAGGATTCTCCCTAAATATTCTACAGTATCAGAGGTTCCTGCTTCATATGTTGGCTTCTATTATAAAAATCATATTTCTGGATTGACTACCCATATATTTTAATTATGCTGTCTAAAATGAAGTATTTGGTCAAAATGTAAAACACACAATATTAATTTTAAATAGAATAAGGAAAGCAAAGAATATAAAATGGGAAAATAAAGGAATAACAGCACACTAACAATACCCTGGTGACTCTTAAGCTATAATTTGCAAAAGGTCCTTACTACTTTAGTTAAAAGCACCTAAGGGAAAAAAGAGAGAAAACATATGAGTATGTTTTTATGTAAGTTTAAAGAAAAAAATATGTTGAAAAATTGCTGTTGTTTCATGGGAATTACCTTCAAGCATATGGGAGGAGCAGAAGAAAATACTAGAAATAGGAGGTATAGGAAAAAATGGCAGGCCTACAGTTATATTGGACTGGAATGGCTAGAAATCATTAGACATGCAATAAAAGATCAGAACTGCAAAAGTACAGAAAGTCAAAATAAGAGTTAAATTTAGAAGCAATGCTTAAGCTGGATATTAAAAATAATACAGAATTAGTAAAATGTGTGCAATAGAAAAGCTACTGAGTTATAATTGTAACAAGAAAGAAACATTCTGAACAGGGAGCTTGGGTATGAAATGACTAAGTTTTTTCACTAATCCAAAGAATCATACCTCAGATCTTTATCACTAGTAAGTATGAAAAGGGTGATTTTTTTTTAAACATTAGAAAAATATTGCTACTGTGAACAATTCTTCACAAGCTTGCTGAATGTGAGCCAGCTGATTAAAAATAATATAAAAGTAATATATGGA